TTAAGTCGTATGTTCGTTACATATGTCACTACAGACCTTAAGCCGTATGTTCGTTACATATTTAACTACAGACCTTAAGTCGTATGTTCGTTACATATGTCACTATAGACCTTAAGTCGTATGTTCGTTACATATGTCACTACAGACCTTAAGTCATATGTTCGTTACATATTTAACTACAGACCTTAAGCCGTATGTTCGTTACATATGTCACTACAGACCTTAAGTCGTATGTTCGTTACATATTTAACTACAGACCTTAAGTCATATGTTCGTTACATATTTAACTACAGACCTTAAGTCATATGTTCGATACATATTTAACTACAGACCTTAAGTCGTATGTTCGTTACATATTTAACTACAGACTTTAAGTTGTATGTTCGTTACATATTTAACTACAGACCTTAAGTCGTATGTTCGTTACATATGTCACTACAGACCTTAAGTCGTATGTTCGTTACATATGTCACTACAGACCTTAAGTCGTATATTCGTTACATATTTAACTACAGACCTTAAGTCGTATGTTCGTTACATATTTATTTATTTATTATCATATTTATTATTATCTCTTTTTGACTGTTGCACTGAGCCAAAGCAATTTCCAAGTCTGTGACCTCCTGTTACTTACGTTGGCAATAAAAATGATTCTGATTCTGATTCTGATATTTAACTACAGACCTTAAGTCGTATGTTCGTTACATATTTGGCTTAGTAGGCCTGTGGTTGTGCACATGTTCAAAAATTCTGTCGACAATGAACCGAGAGAGCTAAGCTAATTAGTATTTATGACTCCTGTAACAGCAACATTGCAGTTATTCTGCAGTATAACAGTATGTACATAAAGAGTATTTTCCCGGGGAATTTGTAATATGCTTTTATTATTTTAGTAATATATAATATTTTTTGTGATAATTAATATCTTACCAACAATATATTCTGGTTTATAAGTTTGGAATATATAGGCTTATATGTGTAAGGCCTTAGGAGTCTATCATACATTTACCTAATAAATGGAGTATATTTATTACAGAAACATATCAATATTTTATTGTTAATTGCCCAACACTGACAGCCAGTGGCGGAGCCAGAGGGGTAGCCAGGGTGTCCACTGCCACCTCTAAAAATACCCTTGCCACCCCCAATGCCCCCCCTCGGAAGACGGCAATTTAATAATGTGCATATCTTGAGAATCTTCCGCACTTTTCCCGCCGAAAACTAAAAATTCCCACGGTTTCCACTGTCTTTAACGCACCCCGACTCCGTGTTGAGAGGTCTTGATCCGGTGCGGCGCAGTATGCTAGCGCTTTTCATTGGTTGTTCGACTCACATGTGCTCGAGTTGTGATGAAAACAGAAGGTCGACACAGGGCCGTTTATATTTGACATGAAGTATAGACACACGTACTGCAGCACATTACTCGTTCAGTTTGTAGTACTTTTTGCGTGTGTATTCTCAATTATTAATTGCACATTGTATCATCACCCTCTTCCCTTTAGTTTAAACATGAAAAGAAAAGGAGGAGACATTTCTTCTTTTTTTGTAAAAAAAAAACTCCTGTAGATCAGGATGACTCCTCACCTGGAGGTCAGACTCGGAGGCAGTATGTTTTGAAAATGTTCATGATGAGGAATTTGTTGTGTTGTTTTAAAATATAGCTTATAGTTTCAGAGGACGAGAGTGAGTCACAGACCGGTACGGACATTTCTTTTGAGGAAGAGGAAATAAATGAAGCACCTTCTGAACTCCCCACAAGCTCCAAATCAACTTATTCAGTACCAAAAGGACCTAGTGGTACAGTAGGCCTGATGCACAGTGCACACATTGAACAATTAGGTTAGGATTAAAGTTAGAAAGTACAGTAAATTTACATAAAACAATACTACTTAATTATTATTGCAGACATCTCAAGATCCAGGGAGGAAGGCCCGACTCAGCCATGCCTGCCAAGTTATTTAAAGACACAGCATGGACAAAGAATGAGGGCATTCAACAAGTCTTGGTACAAAGACAATCCATGGCTAGAGTACTCCATCAGCAAAAATGCTAGTTTTTGTTTTGCATGCCGTCATTTTTCACTACCAGGCTCCACAGAATCTGCCTTTACGTCAGAGTCAGGCTTCTTCAACTGGAAAAAGGCACTTTTTAAAGATGCTGGATTTAAACTACACTCAAAATCAGAGCAACACTCAAATGCCATGTATGCCTGGGTGGAACACAAAAGGGGCATTGATACTTCAAAATCGATATATGATACTTTAAATGAAGCTCAAAAACATAAGATTGAGGAAAACAAGCAATATATTAAAACAATAGCTGAGGTGTTGCTGTTAACTGCAACACAAAATATTGCGCAAAGAGGCCACAGAGAAAATGACGATTCTGTCAATAAAGGCAATTTGGCTATTTTGGATCAAATTGCGAACCATGACCCCTTCATTAAAAGAAAACTTGAGGCACATGGGAATGCCAAGTACACTAGTCACCAAATCCAGAATGAGATCTTGGAAGTTTTGGCAGATATGGTGCAAAAGCAGATTGTGGCTGAAGTAAAAGATAGTGAGGTTTTCAGTGTATTGGCAGATGAAACAAAAGACCTACAAAAAAAAGAACAGATTTCATTAGTTGTTCGATACTATTACAGTGGTGCTGCACATGAAAGCTTCTTGCATTTCCAGTCAGCACAAAGCTTGGATGCAGAAGGCCTCACAAACATGATAGTTGGCTGTTTGGAGAAGCATGGTCTGGACTATAGAAACAACCTAATAGGTCAGGGGTATGATGGTGCCTCAGTGATGAGTGGGAAACATTCTGGTGTTTCTACCCGTATTAAAAGTAATGCCAAGTTTGCATTCTATGTGCATTGTAATGCACACTGCTTGAATTTAGTTCTTGTCGATGTGGTGAAGTCAGTTCCAGAAGCTGAAGATTTCTTTGCTCTTTTGCAGAATATTTATAAGTTTGTTTCTGGCTCTGCTGTTCATATGAAGTGGCTTGAGGTCCAAAAGGAAATTCATCCCCAAGAGAAACCTCGGGAGCTACAAAGACTAACAGATGTTAGGTGGGCTTGCAGGTACATGGCGTGTCGTAATCTGAAAGATAGGCTGCCTGCTGTTTTGAGGCTTCTACAGGACATTTCCATTGAGAAGAGTAGTGGAGAAAGGAAAGTCGAAGCAAGGGGTCTTCTGGCTCAGATTGACATGCAGTTTATTGGGCTGTTGATTATTTTTTGTCAAGTGTTTGGTGATGTAAAAATCCTATCTGACATGCTCCAATCAAGCACTCTTGATCTGTCAAGAGCTGTAGAACTTGTGAATGCCCTAGCGGACACATTTAAAGGTTACAGAAATGAGACTTATTTTGGTGACCTACTGTATGGAGGGAGATTGAGGCCCATGTTCAGAGATGCAACATTTCCAGAGAAGGACAAAACAAAAGACAATCTAAAACCACTACCAAGTTGGCTGACTCCCTTGTCATGAGCACTGCTGGGCAAAGGGACGTCTGTCAAAGCAATGAACAGCTTAACAGAAGTGTGTTTTATCAGGTGCTGGATTGTCTATCGGCAGAGTTAGAGAGGCGTTTTTCACAAAAAAACTGTGAGATTATGGATGGAGTGCAGTCTCTTGACCCCAAAAGTCCTTCATTTTTGAAAGAAGAGCCCCTGTTTGCATTTGGCAGAACCTTTGATTCAGATGTAGAGGACCTTAAGCATGAGGTCCATCAAACTAGGCGGCTTCTTGGGAGGAGAGAAAAAAATGGACTAGAGAGACCATCTTCCCTATTGGAATTCCTTGTCTTTTTGGAACCTTATAAAGAAGTTTTTCATGAGCTTTTCAGGCTTGCAAAGATATCTGTTGTGATACCTGTCAGTACTGCAGCTTGTGAAAGAAGTTTCTCTGCCCTAAAACTAATCAAAAACCATCTCCGAACGACCATGGCAGATGATAGATTGAGTCATCTTGGTATCCTCAGTGTGGAGTCAAGGAGGGCTAAGGGGCTAAATATGGATGAGTTTGTCAAAATCTTTGCTGCTTTACACCATAACCGCAGGATTTTGCTTTGCTGATGTCCTGTAAAACAGTTGCCTAAATTTGTTAAAAGATGCAATGTTTGAATTATGTCATTTAGCACTTTTGTTCAGACCACTGTTTAAATGCACTTTTTTGCTTCGTTGTTTCCAAGTGCACTCAGTTCACTTTATGTAAAGAAAAAAAATAAGATTAAGATTAAAATGTATCGTTTAGCCAGTTTTTGTGTGAAATAAAATTTCTGAATAGTATAAATGTGGACCCCTTAAAAAAAACCTTGCCACCCCCTGGCCACCCTTTGTTTAAAAGTCTGGCTCCGCCACTGCTGACAGCTACAGATTGAAAAATATCTCACATATCATTCCAACCTTATCTTCAGATGAAAGTATCAGACAAGACTTCAGATTTGTTTATAAAATACATTATGTCCTTTTCCTTGTTCTCGATGTGGTTTACTTCTCTACGCTTTGCTTTGCACAGTCATTTGTTAGTACTGTGTTTATTGTAGATGAATAATATTTGGTGTAGTTCACAATATTTACATGAAAATGTCAGATTCTGCTTGTTTTCTGTTTTTGGAAAGGTAAGAAGAAATGACTTCACAATGCATTTACTGAGGATGGTGGATTATGTTTCACTGTGTGGATTTCATTCACATGTTTTGTTTATTAATAGACAAGAAGAATAAAGAAAACCCTAACACAAAGAAGAGTCAGCCAGGAGAGGTGGTACATCTGTGGACTCCATATTCAGAGGACGGTCGCCTGGCAGAAATATGCCTGTTATTGGAAGTCCCAAATACCAGAAATAATCGGCAAAAGATAATTAAGATGATCAAGGTACTGTCTATTTTTTGTATTTCATCTTTCAGGGTAGATGATCCTGAAAGACCGTCCTCTGGTAGTCACTGCAAATAACGTCAATGGTTCAGGAAGGTTGAAAGCAGAGTGGGGCACACCTGGGACGCTAGGTGCTGACTAGCCCTCTGCAGGTGTAGTGGGCCTGACACTGATGAGCCCTCTGCAGGTGTAGTGGGCCTAACACTGATGAGCCCTCTGCAGGTGTAGTGGGCCTGACACTGATGAGCCCTCTGCAGGTGTAGTGGGCCTGACATTGATGAGCCCTCTGCAGGTGTAGTGTCCCTCTGCAGGTGTAGTGTCCCTCTGCAGGTGTAGTGCCCTCTGCAGGTGTAGTGGGCCTGACATTGATGAGCCCTCTGCAGGTGTAGTGGGCCTGACACTGATGAGCCCTCTGCAGGTGTAGTGGGCCTGACACTGATGAGCCCTCTACAGGTGTAGTGGGCCTGACATTGATGAGCCCTCTGCAGGTGTAGTGGGCCTGACATTGATGAGCCCTCTGCAGGTGTAGTGGGCCTGACACTGATGAGCCCTCTGCAGGTGTAGTGGGCCTGACACTGATGAGCCCTCTGCAGGTGTAGTGGGCCTGACACTGATGAGCCCTCTGCATGTGTAGTGGGCCTGACACTGATGAGCCCTCTGCAGGTGTAGTGGGCCTGACATTGATGAGCCCTCTGCAGGTGTAGTGGGCCTGACATTGATGAGCCCTCTGCAGGTGTAGTGAGCCTGACACTGATGAGCCCTCTGCAGGTGTAGTGGGCCTAACACTGATTAACCCTCTGCAGGTGTAGTGGGCCTGACACTGATGAGCCCTCTGCAGGTGTAGTGGGCCTGACATTGAAACACCGGTGAAGGAGGGAACCCACCCTTATGACCCCAGTGACGCTTTCAAACCCACACATCTTATATGATATTTAAGTTTTAATAATAGCATGTTAATAATCTGTCTCTTTTAGTCTGAAGCAGGGAACCTCCCACCCCTCCCTGATTCGTCTGATGAAGACCAAGAGGTACAAAGTTAGACAAAGACAAATTAAAAAATCATAACATTTGTAACCCAAAAACATATATAATTTTAATTTTTTCCGACTTCAATCTGATATTTACATAACCCTCCAGGTCATTAATAGACCCTCCAGGTCATTAATAGACCCTCCAGGTTATGTAAATATTTGAAAATATGCAACATGTTCAGTTTGCTTGGGTTGAATTACAGTTAATTGAATTATCACCAATATTCCTGTTTCTTTTATTTGCCATTGATTTTGCTTGTTGGCCTTTTCATTTTCAAGGGCTCCGGCTCAAGCCTGAAGAAAGGCAAAAATTGAAAATTTCACGAAAAGAAAAGTATTTTTCAGATTTAAATTGGACAAATTAGATTGCAGCAGGACTTAAGACTGTTCATCCATTTTGCAGTTTTGGATTCAAGAGGCATTTACTGAAAACAACCAAATCTAGAGAAACCACCCCATTGTTTTCATGTTTGGCTTTTTGTACATTTAAAGACTGTACAGAAACAGCTACAGACACAGTGCCTACTGACATCAGTCTGAAGGCTACAGACACAGTGCCTACTGACATCAGTCTGAAGGCTACAGTCACAGTGCCTACTGACATCAGTCTGAAGGCTACAGACACAGTGCCTACTGACATCAGTCTGAAGGCTACAGACACAGTGCCTACTGACATCAGTTTGAAGGCTACAGACACAGTGCCTACTGACATCAGTTTGAAGGCTACAGTCACAGTGCCTACTGACATCAGTCTAAAGGCTACAGTCACAGTGCCTATTGACATCAGTCTGAAGCAGGGCTGGACTGGGACAAAAAAACGGCCCAGGCATTTTTTCCTTCTTAGCGGCCCAGGCAACTCAAAAGGTTCAAGGAGCCATATTTGACAAAAAAACTAAAAACATCTGTCTGGAGCCGCAAAAAAAACATAACAGCGTTGTATAAGGCTTATATGAAGGTAACAGGGGCTGAAGCTGTATTAGCTACATTAGCTACCTTAGCTACATTATCTATATTAGCTATATTAGCCTAATATCTAAATGACAAAGTAAAGGCTACAAACACATAAAAACCATTCATGATTATCAAATGTGTATTTTCATTGCAGCGTGTCCTGGAGAGAATGACGCACCACGTGACAACTCTGCTTTAAGTTTAACCTTCATGCAATTGTACAAATACAGTAAATATTCTGCTTTTTGGCTCCGAGTTCACCTGCATCACTGTCTGTTCATATCCATCATATCACAGGCTGAAGTTTGATGGTATGGAAGACTATTGGCACCTTAATTCAATTGTCTATTCATTTGTCAAATGGCTATGCATTATGTTATTTTAGTATTTCTTTTGTATCTGTCAAAGTGTAATGTTATATCCAATTTTGACATTTAATGTTCTATTCCAAAAGTTCTAATGGCAATTCAATATTTAAAGTGTCGATACAATGTCTTTATATATTGCAAATTACAAGATTTTGAAATGAATAGCATATTGACATGGAAATTTGGCCTCTTTATTCATTGTTCTATTCATTCTTAACATGGCATTTAGTTTAGAGTTGTATTTGGCAAAATTGCATGTTATATCCTATTTTGACTTGTATTCCACATTTGAGTATGTTAAGTTTCATTTAATGTGTTGTGAAACAGCACCTCCCTCTGGATTGCATTGCATATTGCATACTGCATTGCCACATGGTTTGAGTGCAACTTAATTCAATATGCTATGCAGTTCTTGACCCCTGGGAAGGCGGGCCCTGGTCCGCTCTCGGCCAATCAGAGACGAGTCTATATCCTCCTAGCTAGATGCGCTGTGTTGTTGATTTTTGTTGGAAGTAAATGCTGTTATGACGGATTGGAAGTAACAGATCACCCTTCATGAAGATTCCAAGTTACTCTAAGGAGGTTCTATTTAAGTATAGAAGTGTGTTTGTTAAAATACCAGTAGTTTTTCCAAGTGTACACTATGGCTACAACTGAGGGCCACCTTAGCATAACAGTTCACAACTTGTGTTTTTCTCCGCTCGGTGCTGACTCGGAGTGCGTCTGAAGATCCAAGTGTGCCCACTGTAGTTAGAAGATATGCCATGTCACTGTCTGAATCGGCTTCACATTAACTGTGACTGGTGACCGACCAAGAGCAGCCCGTTTTTAACAGAGACTCGTCTCTGATTGGCCGAGAGCGCCTTCCCAGGGGTCAAGAACTGCATAGCATATTGAATTAAGTTGCACTCAAACCATGTGGCAATGCAGTATGCAAATGCAATGCAATCCAGAGGGAGGTGCTGTTTCACAACACATTAAATGAAACTTAACATACTCAAATGTGGAATACAAGTCAAAATAGGATATAACATGCAATTTTGCCAAATACAACTCTAAACTAAATGCCATGTTAAGAATGAATAGAACAATGAATAAAGAGGCCAAATTTCCATGTCAATATGCTATTCATTTCAAAATCTTGTAATTTGCAATATCTAAAGACATTGTATCGACACTTTACATATTGAATTGCCATTAGAACTTTTGGAATAGAACATTAAATGTCAAAATTGGATATAACATTACACTTTGACAAATACAAATACAAAATAAATACTAAAATAACATAATGCATGGCCATTTGACAAATGAATAGACAATTGAATTAAGGTGCCAATAGTCTTCCATATGCTGGAGCTGAATGTCCTTAATGGCCTTTTCTTTCACCGTCTTTGCGAAGGTTTTTGAAGTCTGAAAATAGGTGCTCTGACTTTATGATGAATGAATCTTTCAGTGAACGGTGTTTAAAGCTTCATTGTTCCTCCTGTTGCAACAAAACTTTTCATTACATCGCAAACATGAAGTAGTCCTTCCTCATTGACTGAAAGCAAATGTTCATTCTCATTCTTAGTCCAGTCTTATCGACTCTCTCTATCTTTGGGATCCATGCGCACACACAGTTAAAATTGAATATTACTTATACAAGTTTTTGCAGCATTGAAAAACGTTAAGAATGTTTTTCCTCCTACAGAAACCACATTCAAACTAGAAATAAAATATAGCCCTCACACTCCATTTTCAGACATTTTTGAAAAGGCTCCAGGAGCCACTTTAGGGGCACTAAAGGTTGCCGACCCCTGGTTTATACAGTATGTGGAAGCAAATACTGTAGAGGATCAGGATGTCTGCAGTTTCAACAATAAAATACAGTACAATAGTCTACATTAAACAGAGTAATAAACATGCCTCAGAGTGAGGGAGGTGGACACAGACAACACTATTGTTTGTTACAGGGATGAGAATTGGTAAAAAAGTCTGAAATGCATATTGTCAGCCATTAGCTGGCTCTAAATCTGTTTAATCTGGTCACAACATTTTACTTTTGGGCTCAAACATGAAATTTTAATGCAATGGAAAATGTAGGTACCCAAGCTTTAATTTAGAGGAGAGGGGAGACGCGGACTGTTTTCTGCAGCGCTGTATTTATTGGGTGCACAAATTACGAAAAGACATGCATGGTCCTGTGCGCGTTTATGGTCTTGGGTACATGGTCACGTTGCGGCTACGCACTCACCGTGTTGTGTTGTGAGCGGTTCCCGCGTCCAGCTCAGAGCCGCTGGATGCGGGAACACTGCGGCCGCTGAGGTGGTGGAATTCCGTTCGAGTACATACAGCAGGTGCCCCGCGGACACACGCGCCCCCTCGAACAGTTCTCAAAGGATTTACACTTTTCACAAACATGTTTTGTATGAAGCAGACAGACCGGCCCAAATATGGGCATCGGCCCTTCGGGCGTTGCCCGGTACGCCCGATGGTCAGTCCAGCCCTGGTCTGAAGGCTACAGACACAGTGCCTACTGACATCAGTTTGAAGGCTACAGACACAGTGCCTACTGACATCAGTCTGAAGGCTACAGTCACAGTGCCTACTGACATCAGTCTGAAGGCTACAGACACAGTGCCTACTGACATCAGTCTGAAGGCTACAGACACAGTGCCTACTGACATCAGTTTGAAGGCTACAGACACAGTGCCTACTGACATCAGTCTGAAGGCTACAGACACAGTGCCTACATCAGTCTGAAGGCTACAGACACAGTGCCTACTGACATCAGTCTGAAGGCTACAGACACAGTGCCTACATCAGTCTGAAGGCTACAGACACAGTGCCTACTGACATCAGTCTGAAGGCTACAGACACAGTGCCTACTGACATCAGTTTGAAGGCTACAGACACAGTGCCTACTGACATCAGTCTGAAGGCTACAGACACAGTGCCTACATCAGTCTGAAGGCTACAGACACAGTGCCTACTGACATCAGTCTGAAGGCTACAGACACAGTGCCTACTGACATCAGTCTGAAGGCTACAGTCACAGTGCCTACTGACATCAGTCTGAAGGCTACAGACACAGTGCCTACTGACATCAGTCTGAAGGCTACAGACACAGTGCCTACTGACATCAGTCTGAAGGCTACAGACACAGTGCCTACTGACATCAGTCTGAAGGCTACAGTCACAGTGCCTACTGACATCAGTCTGAAGGCTACAGACACAGTGCCTACTGACATCAGTCTGAAGGCTACAGACACAGTGCCTACTGACATCAGTCTGAAGGCTACAGACACAGTGCCTACTGACATCAGTCTGAAGGCTACAGACACAGTGCCTACTGACATCAGTCTGAAGGCTACAGACACAGTGCCTACTGACATCAGTCTGAAGGCTACAGACAGAGGAGATCAAATGCCGACCAGTGAGATCAAAGGCAAGACACATTTAAATAAAGAACTCGAGGCACAGTTGCCACGATCTTTGTACCTGGAGAAATTAGGAACCATTGG